CACAGCTCCCAGGGTCTAAACCACCAGCCTGGGAGCACTTAGGGGGGAATCCAGGGCTTCAGCTGAATATGTAAAAGTGGAGGGCCCTGCTGGGCATAGGTGGAAGAAGAGAACCTTGACCTCATGAAGGCTGGATGCCCCAGGGGGTGGGAATTTTGAGGGTGGGGAGGGGGGAGTGGGGGGGGTGTAGATAGAGGTTACATCCACAGAGAAGAAGGAGGAGGGGCGAGGGGATTGGAGGTTCCGAGGGGGTGGTGGGGGATGGGGTAAGGGGACAACATAGGAAATGTAAATAAATCATCCAATAAAAAAAAAAAAATAATAAAAAAAAAATAAAAGGGGGAGAGGAAGGATTGAAAGGATGTGAGAGGTCAAGGACACCCTGGGCCCATAGGGACTCACAAAGTCTAAACAACCAACCAGAGAGCATGCATGAGACAGACCTAGGCCCTCTGCACAGATGTAAGAGTTGTGCATCTTGGTCTTCATGTGGGACTTGTAACAGCAGGAGCAGGGACTGATTTTCTTTTACCTGCCTTTTATCTCTTTGCCGTAACTGGGCTGGTTTGTCTAGGCACAGTAGGAGAGTATTCAACTAGTAATATTGGAACTTGATATTCCAAGGCTGGTTGACATCCATGGGAAGCATCCTCTTTTCTGAAGGGAAAAGGATGACTGGAGAATAGTGGGGAAATAAAAGGAGAAGGAGGGATATAGTGGATAATAAGGAGGAGAAACTGATATTTGGATGTAAAGTTAATTAACTTTATTTTTATTAATATTTGCCTTAGCTAGGGTTTTACTGCTGTGAACAGATAACCATGACCAAAGCAACTCTTATATAAACAACATTTAATTGGGACTGGCTTACAGGTTCAGAGTTTCAGTCCATTGTCACCAAGGTGGGAACATGACAGCATCTAGGCAGGCATAATGTTGAAGGAGCTGAGAGTTCCACATCTTCATATGAGTGCTACAGAACACTGACTTCCAGGAAGCTAGAACTAGGGTATTAAAGCCCATGCCCATAGTGACACACCTACTCCAACAAGGCTACATCAACAGGGCCTTAACTTCTAAGTGCCACTCCCTGGGCTAAGCATATATAAACCATCATAATAATTAACCAATTAATTTAAAAAGAATGAGAGAAAGCATGTGTTTGTACTGAGCAAGCAGAACAGGTGTCTTGAAGGAAAGATCCTACTAAAGGCTCCATCTTATTAAAGGTCCAATGTGAATATGAAAGGAAAGAGTCTAAACTGAGCATGGACTGTTCCTTGATTTCGTCTGCCTTGAAAGTAACTTTGTGAATAAATGTTTCCCTGGGATCAGTACAAAGAAGCAGATTCAACCGCTCCCTTGTAAGTCAAACTCTGTTCTAACTTAGGAACAAAATTGTCTATGTTACCAGTTTTGTGGGTTTGAATGATGTAGAATAAAATGAGTCGTGCAATCTTGTCTGACGGCTCCGGACATCTGTTGAGGCTAGGGAACAAATAGTAGGCCAGAGTCCCTGCAATAAGGTCTTGAGATGATCTTGAGTTTCCTGAAACATGGATAATCTACTGCAAAAAGCTTTGGGAAATGAGTAGAGTTGGTCAAAGAAAGAAGCAAAATGTATTATAAGCTCTGAAATGAGCTACAGTGTGATACTACTGAACATGCAAGTACAGGATTTTATGTTTTCATGATGTGAATTTGTCTTGATGTGGTCCAATATTTCCTTGTTCTGACCTATTCTTTTCCTTTAGAATGATAAAATTATTTGTTTAACTGTATATTGGATCTTGTACCTTGTTTTGTGAGTTATGGTGGTTCACAGTTGGGAGATTGCCCAAGACTCAGAAGATGTTTTATAACTTTTAACAGCATTGAAACAAAGACTGTGGGGACTTTTCATGCTGAATTGAGTATATTTTATATTATGATATGACAATGAAACTCTGGAGACAAAGGGTATAATGTTATGTCTTAAAGGTGATTACATTTGTGTGTCAAATTGACAGGGGGTGAATTTGTGGTGATTAATCTCCAGTAGTCAACATGATAATAGCTAGAATCATGTAGGAATTGGGAATCTGGGTATGAGTGGGTAGGATTTTTGTAATTAGATTAATTACAGTGGTAAGAAGAGCCCAATGTGAGTAGTACCATTTCATAAGTTGTGATCCCAGACTGAAAAAAATAAATAAAAGGGGAAAGAACAGCCCAATATGAGGAGTACATGTGAAAGACATGAGGTCCTTGTGCTCACAGATAGAACGAGAGAAACCAGGAAAGTTGTATACACATTCTTTTCTATTCAATAGAAGGGATTTATATTTCTTTCTGCCCAGAAAGCAGAGAATTGATATAGTTAAGAATTTGGTGATCTTTGCTATATGTATGGCCTGGCTTCACTGGAACCTCTCAAGATGACAATGCTTATCCCAGACTCTTCCCAGACCTTGGACAGTAAGAAATATCAGGGAAAATAATTGTCAATTGTTCTCTTGTACCACAGCACAACCCCTCTGTTTCTTAGCACAAAGGAAGAAGAGGGACTACCCAATAGTGAATAACATCAAAACTAGGCGATCATGCATACTATTTAATAGTAGATAGCATCACAAAAAAAAAATTGAAAAAGTAGATCTTGGTAATCTTTGTGAAATCTTTCAGGGAATTTGGGCATACCATGAGTTTAGACTCAGAGAGCTAAAAACTCCCACACTCAACTTCATCATGGCTTTAACAGAGGCCCTGCAGTCTCTGTCTTGTAGGAAGTAAGAACCTACAGATTAGGCCTAGTAAGAATGGTTCTGCATGCACTAGTTCTATTTTTCACTCAATTAATCTAGACCAGAGAAGTACCATCCATGTATAGTACTATGATCTTCCTGGTGTTGTTTTCCATCCACTGTTAAGAGGAGAGGGAATTAGAATAGGGGCAGTTTGGTAATGAGGGCAAGATTATATACCTAAGTACTTTGTTTGAGACAACTCAGGCAGGCAGGTGAGTGGGTAGCCAGGAAAATATCTGTAACACAAGAGAGGGAAAATAGTCAAAGATTCAGAAAAGCCTTGCCTCCATTTTTATGAGTCCACTTTTTGGATCTTGTCCCTGATCATTTGAACTGTTTTGGGACCAAGAAGAGGAACAGTAAGATCATATAAGTTTTTCATTAAACTCTTGAATTTTGCCTCTAGACATGACTACAGATATGGATCTGGATTGTATTTATATCCAGGAAATAGATGATAATCTATTTTTTTCCAAATTACACTCTCACATGTAATCTAGCCAGCTTACCAAAAATGATCATGATGTGATCACCAGGAAATACCATCAAGTTCCATCTCCTAGTAAACACTAAACAATAGCAAGTGTTTCATGAATTACGTGAGATTTATGTATTTGCTATTAGCACATCTCTGAATACCTTTCAAAGTTAATCCATTGTCCCAGAAAACATTTATGTCACTATCCAACCTCCAATTTCAATAGGTACTAAGGAATCTCCTCATTCCCAGTTGATCATGCTTCTTATCTCAAGCCAATGTAAACCACATCGATGAGGTTCCATTATAATCAAGATTTTGTTTTTTTAGCTCTTAGGGATTATTCTAATGTCATATATGAAGATTCTTCAGCAACACCTTTGGCAAGGCTGAGACACATATGTAAGACCTTCCCATTAAACTTAGAATACAAAAAGAAGCAAACAAACACAGCAATTGTTTCATTTTCAAGGAAATGTGGTGTTACAAACTCAACATTGATTTTATTGTAAAATCATATGGCTGCCACTGGTCAAATGTATGCTTTTTAATAAAAGGAAATTAAGAAGAAGAGAGTGAAGAATGTTTTGTTTTTTTTAAAGAGGGTTCATGATAAACTTCTCAGAGATGTAATATAATCAGGAACAGCCATACCAACTCCACCATCTGCAAAATAGTGATCAAATTATTAGAAATTCATAATTTAAGAACTTAATGTGACATTCCAAAATATTTCTTATTGGTTCAAATAAGTTAATAAAATAAGAATATAAATATGGGCATATTTGCACGTATACATGTCTCCCCATAATGAGGAAAAGTAGTTAAATTGGAAAATAGGATAATAGACTTTTCATTTTTTTCTATACCTTTTTGCATTTAATTTTACTTTAAAGTTACAGTTGGATCAGAAGAGGGGTGGATCTTAAAAAGTTAGTTGTCTCTTTGGGATATTTCCATTACTTACCTTCCTGAAATCAATGAGTTTGTTATCAGTCAAAATCTTTTCTTTCAAGTTGAGCACTTGCTTTTGCACATTTACAGCAACCCTTGCAGCATGAGCGATTCACAGCTTTACATGATGAGCAGACCCAATTCACTGAAGTACGGTGTGAGAGAGGTTTTTCCTGTTGCTTGGATTCAGAAGATTTTGCCCTTTGAGGTTGCTTGGATTCTAAAGCTTTTATCCCTTGTGGTTGCTTGACCTTTTGCTTTGGGGCCAGTTGGTTTTTAGGGCATTTATTCATAAAATAACCTTTACATTTTCCCTGGTGGTTTGCTTGGAACCTGTTTGGTTCTTCCTTCTGGCTCTGGCTCTTGCCAGTCCCTTGTGGCATTTTCTTCTCATTAGGACTTCCACCAGCAGCCAGGCGTGTTTTCTTCTGAAAAGTATCTTCTTTCTGGCAATTTCTGGTTCCTTCTCCCAGGTCTCTCTGGAGTGTCTTTGTATCCTCTTTCTGGTTACAGCTAACTATGTTTTCCAGATCAGGCTTCCTTAAGAGAATCTCTGGATATTTTTTCAGGATAGGGGTGGTTTTGTTCACTTGGGTATCAGTCTCTGGGAGAGTTACCAAAACATATTTGGTGTTGTGGCTGATGTTGTCTTTCAAGCCAGCCTCCATCCATGGAATTTCTGGGTATTTCTTTTGGGTGGAGCTTTTTTTGTTCCCCTGGGCAGCTATCTCCTGAGGCATTACTGATTCTTCCTTTATGCTGTGATTACGGTTGACCTCCACTGCAGCTGTTTCCTGGTACATCACTAGACTTTTCTTCTCAGTGGCAGCCATCATCAGGGGTTTGGCATGATTTTCCTTATGGTTGTTGCTTCTGTCCCCATGGAGAGATGTTTCTTGACATTTCTCTGGATCTTCTTCACTGTGGCTTATGCTTTCTTCCAGATGATTTCCAACCTGGACCGTCTCAGAACATTCATTCTGCCTCTGGGACTCCAATGTAACCCACAAGCCAGGTGGGTAGATTCCTGAAGGATCTATCTGAGGTAAACCTGTGGCCATGGCTGTTGTTGTTTCTCTGGAGTCCATTAATACTGGACATGGTGCAGGTGTTGAATATGGAAAATCCAAGGAAAATGGTGCATTGAGTGTTAGTGGATGCGGCACAGGCATTCGAAGAAAGGGATGCGCTGCTTCGATCCAAGGACTTGGAAGTCCAGGCACGCAAGACAAGATTGGTATCTGGGCCTCCAAATGGGACATGTTCTGGGACTCTCTAAATTCCAACTCTTCCAGCTCTTCCTCAAATGACCACAGTGATGTTCTAGAGTGCTCCATTCTAGTTTCAGGCACAACAGCCAATGCAGACCTCTCTGCTTGAAGCAGCCTCCCAAGAAGGATTTCCCGCTCATCCATTGCCTCCTGGATGGCAGCCTGTATAGACAGAAGTTGAGCAGCTGCCTGGTCCCTCTCTTCTCGCAACCTCCGTAGTTCAGAGACCAGAGTCCAGGAAGCTGACTCACACTCTCCCACCTGGTCCTGCAGCTTCCAAACTCTATGTGCCTGCTGCTCACGCTGCCTGGCAGCCACTCTCACGCTCAAAGCCAAAGCACTCCAAGTACAAGCCCTCTTGAGGGAGCGTGACACTTTGGGGTCGACAAGGATGGTGTGAAGCTGATCTTCTATCTCATTCCAAGACAGAGCGCGAAAGGTCATATAGAATTCAGGACCCCCTCCATTCATAAGGACTTCATTATTAATGAATTTGATTACTTCCGCATGGTGGAAGCCACTGCCATGGTCCCCAAATTCAACTGCCATATTTGTTACAGCTTAACCAAGTAACATTCTCATGAACCTTCACTATGGTCACTGACACAGCTGCCACGCATGTGGCCAAATTGTTACCCTGTTCCCTCCAGACTCAGTCCAACTTTAGCCCTTGTCAAACTCTCATTTCCTCCTGGACTTCTTCTTTCCTTCCTTCCTCCTGACAAAAGCCAAGCTGATCTTCTGACCAAGCCCACCGTACTCAACTGTAACTGAACCTTAGTCAAGGAACACCCCACAGGACACGTCACAAAGGAGGAAAAGTGAGTCATGCTGCAAGGCATTCTGGGAACAGCCATATTTATCTTTACACTGGCAACAAGTAGTACAGGCAAGGTCGATATTGTGGGAATTGCAGTGAACACAGAAAACAGATATGTATGTAGAAGAAGGTCTTTCTGAAGACCATAAGCTAGTGCAGAAAATGAGGTCTTCAACAACATACCAGTTGCTGAAAATCAAGGCAAAAGTTTTAGGCTGGGTAAAGGGTGGAAGCAAGGTGTTAATGGGCTACAGTCATACAAGGTAAAGGAAATGGAGTTTCATGCTTTCTAATTAATGGAGTTGAAACAAATTTGATATCTCCTCTCTCTCTCTCTCTCTCTCTCTCTCTCTCTCTCTCTCTCTCTCTCTCTCTCCCTCTCTCCCCCCCCCAAAAAAATTTAGAGAGGACAGCAGGTGCAGGGGTGTGTTGTCAGAGATCTAAAACAGAAATTTAGGCTTGCAAAGCTGGCATCAAGAAGAATATTGGATGTCAAGATTTTCTGAGACTCCCAATCTTTTGTGAAACACTTGCACCCCAGAAGCTGCCCCTGGTTGGGAGTCACAATGGGCATCAAGATGGCTTTTGCCAGCAGGGACAAGAAGCCAATCTTAAACTCAGTGCATCAAAAGCTTTGCGATCTGCTGTGCTACCCTCTCACTTCCCTGAAATTTCACAGAATTCTAAAGAAATTATGTCCCCAGATTTGCTGATGTATCAGGGACCACCAGACAGTACAGAAATAATAAAAACATTACCACAGAAATACAGAAGGAAAACTATCTCTGAAGAGTAAATGGAATTTATCCAGTGTAGATGTCCAGAGTGATCATCATGGCTGCTATTTGTCATTAGACAGAAGGATTATCTTTACAATAAAGGACTCCCAAACTGTCAAATGAGAAAACATATATTGAACAACCTTGATAAATATTCTGTAAGCAGAATGAAGTATAGAAACTCCAGGTTGTCACTTGTATCTCTTACTTTATGTATCTTGGTTAGCTTCCTCACAAGCTGACCTGTATACGTATTCAAGTCTACATTTTTTACTGGATATTTCATTTACATTTCAGATGTAATTGCCCTTTTCCCCCAGCTTTAAATGCTAAAAAACAAAAAAAAACAGAAAAACAAAACAAAAAACAAAAAAAAAAACCAAGTTTCTGAGTCCTTCTGTCGGAGACTATAAGCTGTAGGGGAAAGGTGTTTTTGTATTTTTTTTTCCATTTTTGAGTAAGACGACAGATTCACTGGTTAAATCTTGTATAGTTCACATCTCAGTCACTCTCACACACAAAGAAAGAACTTTCTGTTTTCAAATGTAATACTAATTTCTTCTCATGTAATTTGAATACCACGTTCTTCCATTTCTTGAGCTCAAACCATACATTCTATCACAACTGACATTTTTTCATGTATTTGCTTCCACTGCCATTTTTCTCAATATTATTTGAGAATATTCAAGTTTCTCCCATACTGCATAATATTCTAGGATTCATTTTCTGTTCTTTAATTTCTACTTCTGTAACTACAGAAAATATCAAAAGAGCACTATTTGTGTCTCTCCCTGCACAATAATCCAAGTTTCAAAATATCCAATTCTTTCAAATTGGCTTTTCTGTAGCAAAGATTAAGAAATAAAATAAGACTAAGTGAGCCAGAAAGAATGAAAATAAATAGTCTACTACTCCCTATTAAAATCAATTATCCCTCTGTTTTTCTAAACCACAGACTCTATTAATTAAACTAAGGGTTATTTGAACACACGTATTGTGATACATAGGATATGATCAGACAATGGGACATACTACTAACTACTAGGTAATATATACAGTGTGCATAATTTAGGATGGTGAGGAATTTCAACACATTGTTTAGAACACAGTGTAAATTTAATCTTACATTTGAAATCTTCCACTTAATATTGTCAGACCACAGGATTCTAAAGGAAGTAAAACTATGAAGAGAAGTAGAATATTGTAAAAAGTGTCATTTTCATATCACTTCCCTTATAACTACTAAGGAAGTCCCTTTTTGGTTTTTTTGAGAAGTTGGGACATAAGCTGAGATTTGAACAATGTGTAATAAGATTTACATAAGGATACTGAGGAAGAAAGCAAATCTAAAATTGTTAAATTGCTATTTCTATGTTATTTACCAAGTGAATGCATGAGCAAAATCTATAGTAGGTTATAACTGTTCTGCCATATCCAGCTAAATCACATTACTCAATTCATAGGATAAATGTCTCTTGTGTTTTTATACCACTATGTTTTTAGAAGCTTGCATCTGCTCTCCACCTACCTGCCTTGTATATTTCTGCTATTTCCATGGATGCTCTTTGCTAGAGACACAATCTAGAGACACATCTGATACTACCAGGAAGGCACCATGTGTGTACCAGCTTTTGTGATATTTCCAGGATCTACAATGCCTTCTGGGTGCTGAAAACATCATCTGCTTCTGATCAGAAACAAAACATATTCTGTATATGAAAGCAGGAACAATACTGTGCTTTACAAGTGGAATTAATGAAGCACAGGCTATTCAGAAATATGAAGCTCAATATTAAAGGAAATATGAGTAGCTGTTAATAACATCATCTATTATTTTCTTTTTTGAATTTGCCATAAAAATAAAAATAAAATGGAAATATTTAATATGACCATCAAATATTAAACATTATCATCAAATATTACTTATTTATCTCTAAAAGTAAATAGATACATTCTTTCCAAAATAATGACATTTTACTGCTTACATCAGTTTTGATTAATTATTATAAAAACCATCAGTGTGTTGCCAGACATAGTAAATGTTAAGTGTAAGGAGAAAACTTATCATCTCTTATTATGTAATATCTATGCAAACTGTTGAAATTATAACTAGCAACACATGTAGATTGTCAAATCATGTGTCAAGTTACATGATGTACTTTTGGTGATAGCACATTAAAGCAACTCAATTATGATATTCTACTTGAAGAGTTCATTGAGTATATGTAATAAATGTTACTCATAATTATAGATACACCTAATAGATTACTATTGCCTTTAAGCTACCTATTTTGACAACCATTGTTCACAGTGTCAGTGTATTGTTTCCCAAAGAGTAATTTACTAATCTACTTCTTATTCTGTTCTCTCTCAATTGTCAATGAGCTAGAAATGTTACATTCTCTTTTATTAGGTATGTTTTAATTAACACAAAATAAAGTAGTCTTGATCCCTATCTGTGATCTTAAATGGCAAAAATGATGGATTATATTCATCTATTTAACTAAGTCAATATATTTATTTTTATTTCAATATTAATCCATTAACCAATACAAAACATGTTACAAATGGTTGTATGAATGAATGAATGTTGGATAAATATAATACATATTTATATTATGCTTATCCATTTTATAAGTTAATACTACCCATAAGAAATCTTCTTCTATTGGGCCTGGAGAGATGGCTCAGCATTTAAGAGTACTGGCTGCTCTTTTAAAGCAAGGTCCTGAATTCAATTCTCAGCAACCACATGGAACCTCATAACCGTCTGTAATGGGATCTGATGCCCTCTTTTGTGTCTGAAGACAGCAACAGTGTACTCATGTATAAAATAAATAAATCTGAAAAATATTTAATTAATATATGTTATATATTTACAATCTACAAACTTTTCTAAAACATTTAACTCTTTAACTAGGATTAAAGTATGAAACTTAGAAATCCCATTTTTTCATTCTTTATTCATGCCTTATCTGCTTGAGTTCCTACTCAATATTTAATGTTCTAGACACTTTGTCCATTAGCCTAGCCTAGTTAATCTTGCGACATTTACACAATGCTGCCCAGTTGTAAGTGTTAAGGAGTACTGTCAACTCTTTCACAACTAGATCACTGCACCCTATTTGTTATTGATTAACACAATCCCTTTCTTGAAACTCACTACTCTTCACTTTCTGAGTATCTCATATTATGACATCAACATTATTTAGTTAATATGTATGCCTCCAACTATCACTTGCTTATTTTAACATGAGCTACTTTGGTATATCTGTTCAATATATATCATTGCTCTATGGATTCTATATTATTCCTCTTTTTGTTTTACATCTTTCCTCAGGTCATCAAATTTATGCTAAAGCTTCCAAATATTATTGTTGTGATGCTCACTTCTACAGAGTATCTGTCAACAGTCTCTTATTCTAGTTCAAAATTTGTACTATATATTGAATCTCTCAAATGTCTCAGATAAGCCTTAATGAATAAAATTGAACTTGTCCCATCCTTTTCTCTTCCTGGAATTATCTCTTTTCATAATCTGCTCAGTTGTACAAACTAGAAATTGTAAAGTCAATATGACTCCTCTCTCTTTCACTTCCACTCTTTACATGGGCACTGTGTCATTCTTATGACTTTCACCCATTTTGCATTTGTTCTACCATTTTCCAAATGAACTGTCATGATTTCTTACTACAATGATTTCATGGTTATTCTACCATCTTCATATGCTTTTCCTTGAATTTTTTTCCAGAGAATGTCTAGATGAATCTATTGTCCAAATTTAACATAAGTGCTATCTGTAAAAAATCCATTGTTGCTTATGCAATAATGCCTAAACACCTTAATATTGTATGAAAGTCCTAAGATTTCCTAGTAACTTTGACAATGTCATTTTTTTATCCATTCCTCTACCTGTATTCAAGAAATGGTTAGCTAGTCTTAGTCTCTCT